AAAGAGATCAGCTGGATTTTATTAGGTTCTGTTTTATGAGGTCGATCTCTATTTCCTTCCTATCTATTTTCTCATGTTTCTTCGTATTTTTCTATTATTTTGAGTGCACTTTGCTTCTTCCGAGATATCTTTAATTTTAAAGTGTGTAGAAAAATAAGTGAAATTCTGAAAATTCGAAAAGTCGCTTCTGGAATTGTTTTCAAGTTCCCGCCAAGCCTCAAGAATTTTTCTTCACTTTTCGATTGCTCTCTGCAAGCGCGCTCCATTGACACCACCCCGCAAATTTCAAATTTTTTGCAGTTGCGCGGCGTCATCGAACAAGGGAGAGGAGACCTGTAACACTATTAACCACCAACATCATCTTCATCATAAAATAATCAAAATTGCCACGTCACCGCAATCCACGACGACGACTACAAAACACAGGAGCCAATCAACTGGCACTTCAATCGACATCACGACGGGCTCACCAATCAACATTCTTGGCCAGAACGGCACCGGAGGAGGCGGCGAAGAGGGTGGAAAAGTAGAGGGAGGAGGAGAGACGAAAAAGTGCATGATTTCGGCATGGAAGGCGAGAGAAAGCGAACGGAATAAGGTTCGGCTCAGGGATACCGATGGATTTCGGTGTCGTGCGGCGGCGCTGTGTATCAAGGGTGAGTGGACGAGGAAAGTTGGTGGAAAAAACTAGGCCGGGAGTTTCAACAAATTGAAAATGGTATATTATTGTTGTCCGAAAAAACTGAAGTAATATAGTATTTTTTGCAGTCTGAATACGGTAGTTATCTCGAAGCAGCAAGCCTAAATAGCACATATTCGGTGGAGACGCAGAGAGATTTTTAGAAATCAGTTTTTTTTCATTTTTTTTTGCAAAATTTTTAGACTTTTTAGACATTTTTAAGTTTTTCAGCTATTTCCAATTATTCTTTTTCGATTTTCCCGTTTTTTTTGTCTGAAATTTGATGGAACGGTGTTCAGGAAGATTTCTCTAGTATTTTATGCAAGCACAATCACGTCAAAATTCAGGCAAAAAAGCAAAAAAACTACTACAGTAACCTACAGTAATCTTCTCGAACACGGTTCCATCAAATTTCAGACAATAAATTTCGGAAAAATCGAAAAAGAATCTTTGAAAATAGCTGGTATACTTAAAAAGGTCTAAATTTTTTTCGAAAATTCGCAAATATTCAGTTTTGGCGGGAATTCAAAAAATATTCGAAAACCTTCCAAAAGTTTCCAGAAATTGCCTTTTGAAGCGTTTTTTCTAGGGAATCCCCCATTCAGACGAATTTTCGCTAATTCTAGGTTTTTTTCAATTTCTACATGGCCTAGAATCCCCCTCAAAAAACTAGGCCAACTGAATCTTTGATTTTTCGGTCCTCTTTGTCATCTGATCTATTTCTTTGCCTTCACTTTTAAAAGTTCTCTTATCTCTTATCATTTTCTCTTCTCCCAAAAAAAAGTTTTGGTTTCATTGAACACACAAAAACCACTCTGCAGCAGCCTCCGCGCATCGTTTTCTAGGTTGCAGGTGATGGAAAAAAAACAAATAGTCTTTTTTGTCTACGTGTGGTTTATGGCTGAGCTACGTAGGAAGACTGAAAGATTAGGCAGTAAATGTGGTGGCCGAGGTTTTTTCTAGGCCACCATCTCTCAAAAAACAATTTTTTTTTTGTGTTTTTTCCAAAGATCAATTCTGGATGACGTTGAAAGTTCGTCGATTTCTGATAGATCAAAACGGGATTTTCTCGAAGGCTCCGCCCACTTTTTCGATGTCTATTTTTGTATAGAACGCTGATAAGCGCGCGGACGTCGCTGACAAAAATGTTTGTTTCGAAGACACTGACTGGAGAGAGTGAGAGACGCAGAGAATTAGATTTTTTAAAATAGTTCAGAAGATGGCCTAGAAACCCAAAACTAGTCCCTTTAAAAGTAATTTTTAAAAAAGAAAAAAAGAGAAAAACGCATAGTGGAAGAGCGGGAGATTTCTAGTCCCCCTGTTGCATCGAAGAAGCGCGCGAATTCGAAATTCTTCTAAAAATGATCTAAAAATACCCTAAAATGATCTAGAATATAGTTTGAAAAGGTCCAAAAATGGCCTTGAATGATCCAAACATTATCTGAAAATAGTATAAAGTTATACAAAAAATATGGTCTGAAATGGTCTAAAAATCGTCCTAAAGTTTTATAAAATGATCCAAAAACGGTCGGAAAAGACCTAAAAAATGATCCAAAATGACCCAAAAGGTCTAAAATGATCCTGAAATAGTCTAAAACGGTCTAAATTGACCCAAAAATTGACTTCAAAATAGTCCAAAATTATCCTAAAATGAGTCAAAAATGGTCCAAATTGACCTTAAAATTGTCTTAAATGATCCAAAGATGATCTAAAATTATTCTAAAATAGCCTAAAACAATCTTTAAATGGTCCAAAACTTCACCGCACATCATCTTTTAAAAAATGGGATTTTTTCCAGGAACTGGCAACGAGACACTGGTCCTTCTGGTCTCCGGCGGCAAAGATGGCGGAAAATGGGTTATCCCTGGTGGCGGCATCGAAAAGGACGAGTGTGCAGAACAGGCGGCGCATCGGGAGCTGATGGAAGAGGCTGGCGTTCGAGCGACGATTGTGAAGAGTATTGGAATGTTTCAGGTATGGAGATGGCCTAGATTTGGGGTCCTAGGCCACCAGGCATGTTCGGAACGGAATTCCGGTGATTCCGAAATATTCAAAATCGGAATTTTCGATATTCCGAAAAATTCCGAGAAGGCCACAGTTGTTTTATTACAGGACGACACTCGCAAACACCGTACTCAAGTGTTCCTGATGGAAGTCTCTGAGGAGCTCGACACGTGGGAGGAGAACGAGTACGGTCGTCAAAGGATATGGATGAATGTGCTGGAGTCAAAAGAGAAAGTCAAACAGTCACATCGTCAGATTCTCGACGCCCTGATGCCCCGGTAGTCTTCACTCCTTCAAGAATTCAAATTCATATTTTTCTAGAAAGTTACGGGATCTCTCATTCTCTCTCCTCCTCGATTTTTATCGGTTGTTACTTTTCCCAATTTATTTTGATGACGTGGCCTAGGCATGGCCTAAAAACTGGTTTTCTCTTCCACCCCCTTTTTGTCTGGAACAAAAGTTATAGCATTGCTTTGTACTTCTTTTCATATCATTCTTTATTTTTGTCCTGTTCCCCCCACCCCATCTTTTCTATTGCTTTACCCATTCTTGTCTACCCTCTCGTCCTGAAAATTCAAAACTAAAAAGTCATAAGCAAGCAAAAAAATAGAACACTCGATGTTTGATTTTTCTCTCTCCTTCCATCCATAGATGCCTATTTCCCTCAAAAAAATACAATTTATTGATAAATCATTATCAGGCATTATGGGTTTGATGCTGCTTATCAATTGCAAACATATCAAAGTCGGTCATTCGATATTCAATATTCAATATTTGAAACTCGACTCTTTTCCAATCAATTTGCCACGTGACTTCTAGGAAAAAATCGGTCAAATGGAAAAAAATGAGACATGACCTTAATATGCCACGTGGTGACCTAGTTTCCAAGAGCCACGTGGAAATTATTGACATCGCTAAGCTTTCTTGAAATTTACACGTGGATTTTCATAAATTTAGGTCAAAGATTAGCCAAAAAACGTTTTTTCTATAACGTGGCTTTTTGGATTTTTATGAAGATGATTTTAAACATTTTTATGACGTGGATTTTTAGATTTTTTTGTGACGTATTTAGCTCTTCAGATTCTAGAAAGAAAATTATGCCAAAAATCCGAGTTTTTCACGTTTTTTGAAAAATTTGTTTGAAATTGCCACGTGGGTTTTCATAGATTTAGGTAAGAAATTAACCAAAAAACCTGTTTTTTATGACGTGGCTTTTTGGATTTCAGAAAGACAATTATGTCAAATTTCCGCTATTTTCACGTTTTTGTAAAATTTATTAAACATTGCCATGTGGATTTTCAGATTCCAGAAGAAATGAACGACGTGGCTTTTGACCTAAATTTTTCTTTTTCCTTTTTTCCGGAAAAAAATTCTCTTTATTTTCCAAAAATTTTCAAATTTTCGCCTGAATTTCAGATGACGTTTCAACTCAGCGAGAAGACATTCAAAGTGCCTGTCGACCTCTTCGTCGAGAATCGTCAACGTCTTCTGGAGGCGCTCAAAACAAAGGTTCCCGCGAATTCCGCCGTTCTCCTTCAAGGAGGCGTCGAGAAGAATCGCTACAACACCGATGCCGCCGATCTTCCGTTCCGTCAAGAATCCTATTTCTTCTGGACTTTTGGAGTCAACGAGAGCGAATTCTATGGAGTGATCGATGTGACGACTGGAAAAACGACACTTTTCGCGCCAAGACTAGACCCGAGCTACGCGATTTGGGACGGAAAAATCAATGATGAGAAGTATTTCAAAGAGAAGTATGCTGTAGATGAGGTGTTTTTCAATGACACCGAGAAGACGATTGCAGAGAAGTTGAAGGCGTTGGCAGTGAAAAATGTTTATTTGTTGGTGAGTTGCTTTTTTAAAAAGAAAACCCTCTTAAAAGTTTCTTTCAGCGCGCCGAAAACACCGATTCAGGAGACGTGTTGACTGAACCAAAGTTTGCTGGAAGCCAAGATTTCCAGCTCAACACTCAACTTCTCTACCTTGAGATGGCTGAACTTAGAGTGATAAAAACTGAGAAAGAAATCGATGTGATGAGATACGCGAGTAAAATCGCCTCAGAGGCTCATCGAGCCGCCATGAAGCACATGAAACCAGGTCTCTATGAATATCAATTGGAAAGTCTCTTCCGTCACACTTCCTATTATCACGGTGGATGTCGTCATCTTGCATACACCTGTATCGCCGCTTCTGGCTGCAATGGATCTGTTCTCCACTACGGACACGCTAATGCTCCAAACGATAAGTTTATCAAGGACGGTGACATGTGTCTATTTGATATGGGACCAGAATACAATTGCTATGCTTCCGATATCACCACTTCTTTCCCATCAAACGGAAAATTCACAGAGAAACAAAAAATCGTATATAACGCCGTGCTGGATGCCAATTTGGCAGTTTTGAAGGCAGCGAAACCGGGTGTCAGATGGACTGATATGCACATTCTCTCGGAAAAAGTCATCCTGGAGCATCTCAAAAAAGCGGGGCTCATCGTTGGAGACATCGATAAGGCGGTCGAGGCGAGAGTTGGTGCAGTATTCATGCCACACGGATTGGGACATTTCATCGGATTGGATGTGCATGATTGTGGAGGTTACATGGGTGATGCGACGCCAAGATCAACACTTCCAGGCCTGAAAAGTCTCAGAACTACGAGAACGCTGAAGGATAGAATGGTACTGTGATTCTATTATTCACGTGAACTTGTATGAATTTTCACATGAAAATTTTTATGACGTGGATTTTTCCATTTCCGTTTTTCACGTGAAAATCAAGCTTTCCACGTTTTAACGTGAAAATTGTTCAATTTTCATTTTCACGTTTCACGTAAAAATGAAAATTTCCACGTGGATTCTTGGATTTCCCAAACTCTTCGCTTTGGCGGAAATTCGAATTAACTCTTCACGTCTTCCTTTTCCAGGCCATCACCATCGAACCCGGATGCTATTTCATCGACTTTCTTCTCGATGAGGCACTTGCTGATCCAGTGAAAAGTGCCTTCTTGGTGAAGGCTGAAATCGACAAGTATCGTGGATCAGGAGGTGTTCGAATCGAAGACGACGTCATCATTCGCGCCGCTGGAAACGAGAATCTCAGCGATCTGCCGCGTACTGTCGAGGAGATTGAGAACTTCATGGCTAGCGGTGGACAGTGGACCGAGAAGGACATCGAGCATCGTGTTTCCGAATTCTTGTCCAAGTAGAAGAGAGTTGATCAGCTTTATTTATTTATTAAACTCACATTTTCAATGTACTTATATAAGTTAACACACACATTTGTTTTCCGAAAACAGAGGGGTTTATTGTTTGGATGATCAATAAGTTATTTTGAAACGTCATTGACTTTACTTTGAATTATAATACGGTGCGAAATGTTATAAGAGAAGAAAAAAAGGTTAAAAATAAATTTAAGAATGGGAAAGCATCAGACTGAGCGCACCATGCTTGTAGGGGTGACGACGGTAAAACAGGTGTAGAGCAAGCCGAGTATCTCAGTGGTGTGGGATGAAGAGAGGGGGGAGGAAAGGGACAGAGAATTGCCTTCGGATTAGGTTTTTGGAAGTGGTGGAACGAGATGAAGGGAGGATATTTAGAAGGAGAAATATGTTTATTGTCCTCCGAGCTGCTCTTGGTACACCTCGATAACATCGTCGTCCTCCATCTCGAGCGACTTTGGAGTGTCTTCGTCATTGATGCGACGTCCGTCGAAGAGGAAACTGAAATAAGGAAAATTAAAGACTACTGAATGATCTAGATATCACTCACCGGAGACTGTTGACAGAGACTCCAGTGCGGTCAGCATACGACTTCTTCAGCTTCGCCATCGATGTTCCAAATTTGACTCGGAAGTGGACCTCGTTACTGTCCTGAAAATCATTGTATTGAAAGATTTCTAACAACTTCGAGGTATTACCTGTCCGACGACCTTGATCTTGATGTATTCGGCGTTGTCTCCTCCTGTAGGGGCGGTGTTAGCAGCGTCGTCAGCCATTGTTGTCTGTTGATCTGAATAGTTGGAAAATTGAAACGAAAAGGAACGAGTGTTGTCAAGGAGATAGGCGGTTCAGAGCAGCCAAGTGCATTCGCCTTATAATGATAGGTTGCGTCTAGTGGATTGAAGAGAGACAGAGAACGAGAATGTTCTCTACCACGCTGGCGTCATGAATTGCAATAGGGAGCGAAGGAGCGACAGAAGGAAAATCGATACTTGTGCGATGAAGAAAAAACAACGAAGCAGAATGAGCAGACGAGGTGAAACAGAGCTCGGGGACGGCGAGCCAAGGGGATCGCTGAAGGGTGAGGGGATTACCGTGGAGATTTGTAGCCTAGACTTCTACTCGTGAGTTTCAGGAAAACATCCGGGAAAATTCGAGAGCCAAGAAGCTTATTAGGGAAAAAGCAAAAAAGAAAAAAAACAGAGTTTCACTTCTCAGTTCTCAGAGTATTTTCTCGCCTTTCTCCTAAAAATTTAAATTTCAAAGTGTTTACAAGCTTCAAACGTCAAATTTCCTAGTAAACGAGATAAAAAACGAGAAACTTAACGAAGAACAGTGATGGGAAAACGAGAAAAGTGGGACGAAAGTGATAAGCGGAGGGAGAGCGTTTGGATTCGAACGAAATTTCCCGCGTCTCTTCGTTTTCGCATTTATGCCGCGAAATCAATGCACCCAACTTGACGCGCACGGTGTTGGCACAGAGGCGTGTTTTGTTGGGAAAATGGAATTTGAAAACAGAGGAAAATAGAAATTATGAACCTAAATAACGACTTTCAGTTATAAAACTCTGAAAACAAAAGTCTAGAAAATTTTTTGCATGAAATGAACGGGCGGTCTTTCAGGAAAATTGAGATTTTGGGCGAATATGGCAATAAAGTTGGCTTTTTAGACCTAAATTATGAATTTCAACTTCAAAACTCTAAAAATCGAAAATTTTTTCAAAAAACCTGGCAAAAGAAAGGAACGGGCGGTCGCGATATTCGAAAACATTCGAAATTTTAGGCCAAACTTGGAAAAATCGATAATTTACTGTGACAAGCGCGGGTCTTGACACGAAAACGCGACCCGCGCGTTTTCAAAAAAACAAGTCACGGAAAAAATCGATAATTTCGCAATTTTAGATTTTCAAACAAAACATTGGGTCTCGAGTGGAAATGAATAGTTTATTGATAAGCAGAAATGTACAAAGTAAAGAAATATTGTGTTAAGAATCTTAACTTAAGGTCAAGAACAACAAGTTCCAGCAGCATCATTCTCCTTAATTGTCATCAATGGTCCCACCAAGAAATATCCGAGCGCATGGCCTAGAAAATTAATTTTTTGAAAAAGTTAGGCCATCACCAAATTACCTCCTAGAAGGGATAATAAGAATGGGTAATTGTAGGTCATCGCAATCAGCATAAGAGAGTATTCAACAAAATTTTGCGCAAAAAATAGGCAAGACGATACAGTATGCTTCCAGCCAGAGATCGATTCCATTGTGAATCTAAAAGCGCGGATTTTTCTAGACCAAGTGGACTTTTCTAGGCCACCACTCACGGAACCACTGATATTTTTCCACGTGGCGGTTCTTCAGAAGTCTCGGGAATATCCCAGATACCTTCACTAGTTGAGCAGCAAACGTCGGTTACCTAAAAATTTGAATTTTTAAAAATCTGAAAATAAAAAAAAAACCAAAAAGGGGCGGGGTTTTCGAGTCATCCATTGTCTTCCGAATTTCAGCAATTCCAGACAAAACGCAATAATGAAAATTGAGATACATGAAAAAACGTATCCAGGGGTGTCAGTTGGTTTCCATTGCCGGAATAAGATTGGTTCTTGGATTCGAAAATGAAAATACATTTCCATCATGTCCATCATCATTTTTTGAAAGAAGGTTTTGGCTGAAAATTATGCTGAAATTTTTGAAAATTTGAATTTATTTTCTAAATTTTCAGAAAAAAATATTTTGCCGATTCATTCGGGTTTCAACACCATATTTTCAAAAATAATACAAATTTCAAGTTTCATTCCATTCTCGATCCAAAAATCAAATAGCCAATGCCAAGTCCTACGACAACGGCAAGCCCTAGCCAAACAGAAAAAGTCATAAAAATCAACATTAGAATATAGCTGAAACACAATTGGATCATGAAAAGAATCGATTGTGCCACGTGGATTGGTGAAAAGAGTCGGGTGAAGTAGCTGAAAAGGACTACTGTAATGCGTGCGAATTTTGCAATTTTGCGGCGCACTTTTTAGTTTTTTTCAATTTTTTTGAGTTTCGAGATAAAAATTTATATTTTTTGGTTTTTTTGCAACAAATTTCAGATCTTTTTAGGTTTTTCGGCTATTTCCAGAGATTCTTTTTTATCTGAAATTTTATGGAACGGTATTCGTGAGGCTTACTTTAGGTTACTGTAGAAAAATTTATTTCCTTTTGCAGTTTTTTGCAAACAGAAACACTTCGAAAATTTGCAACTGCAAAAACTACTACAGTAATCTACAGTAATCTTTACGAACAACGTTCCATCGAATTTCAGACAACAAAACCGAAAAAGAATCTGTTAAAATGGCTGAAAAACATAAAAAGTAGCAAAGAATTTCAAAAATGCGCGCCGCTGGCTGGCAAAATGGGCGGAGCTTAGCTGTTGTGCCAAAAACTCACCTTTTCGTCAAAACCTCTTCTCGTCGTTTCTGCCATTTTTCAATTTTCCATCTCCCAAATTTCATGGCTTCTAGCATGATTCCAGCGACTACAATTACAGCACACACCCACGCCATGGCTGGAAAATTTTTTTAGATGGCCTAAAAAAAAAGTTAGGCCATATATTCACTTACTCCCCGCATCCGTTACATTCCACGTTTTGAAAAGTACAGTATCCTGTGGTTGGGTGTGGAAATACATGTGCATAAATGGTCCAGACATTGGGGATTACTGTAACTAAAAAAAAGTTTAAAGGCGCATGAGTCAGCGGAAGGGAACACCAAAAATAGAAAATTTTGTATATACATATTTGGGTCAATATCAAAAACAAAGTGTACATTGGTTTATCAGTAAAAGATGATAAGATGAGAGACAGGAGAGTTAGAGAAAGAAAAATGAATTTTCTCAAAATCGATTAATGCACTCTGGAGCCAAAAAAGAAGTGACCAATCGCAAGACCCAAGCAGACAGAAAGACAAATATAAATCTGAAAAAATAGAAAGTTCGCTCCATTGAGAATTAACCAGAAAACTTACATTAAAAGTCATATAAATATTCATGAGAAGGAAAGCCAATAAGGTTTGCCAAAAATGATAAAATGATTGGATGATGTGATTTGTCCAGAATCTGAGAAAACTCGTTCTATCGAATTTCCATTAGAGCGCACTTACCTGCTATCGGAAGGCACCAGAATTCCACCGTACTTGGTTCGTTTCTCAGCTGGCAATATTTTTTCAGAGACCGCCCATCCGGAATATTTCAAAAATTCCAGAAGAATCCCAGCGAAGCCCACAACAAAACAACTCCAAATCATCGCTAAAAACTTTTGGTTGGAATTACTGTAGTTTGACCTATTTCAACCAACTTCCGGAATCTTGAACTTTCCATTCTTGAAATAAAATCACATCGTTCAATTCGATATGGTACCATTGCCACATTTTTGGGTGTTTTCTCCCGATTGGAGCCATCGTTGTCATGTTCATGGCGAAAAAATGCGCTCTGTTGATGCAAACAGAAAATTTGAATACAGCTAGAGTTCATAAAATGAAATAAAAAAGAAAATTGCACCAAGAAGGTTCGAACCTGCGAGTGTCAGTTTCAAAACAGAGCGCGTTAGCCAGAAGACTACGCGGATACATGGGTGATGTGGGGGCGATGGCGTGGATATATTACAGCTCGAGGGCGGCTGACGAGAAGGAAGAGAGACGCAGAGCATACTTGTAAAATTCCGGGCCGGGCCTGAGGAAAATTTCAAGGCCCGGGCCCGGCCCGGAAGGCCCGGAAGCAAAAATTTTGTCATTTTGAACCGTATTTTGAGCTCTCAATACAATTTTCTATATTTTTTTCTATGCTTTTTGGATTGTTTGTCTGTTTGATCAAAAAATATTTTAAAAAACTCGAAAAAAATTTTTTGATCGAAAAAAATTACATAAGGGTCCCCCCTTATGTGCTTTTTGAAAATTTCAAAACTTGTGGAATGACAGGCCCGCCGGGCCTGGCCGGGCTTCCGATATTCGGGAAAAGCCCGGCCCGGCCCGGCCCGTTACAAGTATGGAGCAGAGAAATTTCTCAAAGTTTTGAAAACTCGGAAAAATCAAAACTTCGGATAATTTCAAATTTTGGAATTGAAAAAAAGATCTTTCCGAAATTTCCGCATTTCTGAAAACTGATATATGTTTTTCAAAAGCCCGGAAGTTTCTTTAAAAGCTCTTTTGAAATCCAACACAGTTCAATCGCGCTCAAATGCGATTTCTTCAAAATAGAGCGCGATTGCATCATTTTGTGCTAAAATAGTACAAAATAAAAGTTAGACTGCCCAAAAATAGGTTTGCATACCAATCATACTGATAAGAGCAACCTAACACCTCTTGCGTTATCAGTAGGACATTCAAATAGAAAATTTAAAAATATTTATTTTTCAAAAAAGTAAAAACTTTTCAACACAATATTTACTGCCAAAATTGAATAGCCAGAGTCGAATATGGCTAACGTCTTCTGCAAAAAAGAATCCATAAACGTTCTCTTCGATTAATTTCTCAATGAAATCCTTGAATTTTTTCTTTTGTTCCAGACTTGGATTGTGGACCTGAAAACATTTTTTGCGGTAGAGCGCATTTATAACATCTTCTCATTGGAGCGCATTTTCCTACCTCTAAGCTCATTTGACAGAAAGCGATATCCATTCGGCTCAATTTCTCATTTTTATAGAAAATATTGAATAATTCATATTCAGCAAATTCCGTATCCATCCATAGATAGTCGATTTTCTGGAAATGGCCTAGGATTTTTCTAGGCCAACAGGACAAAAAAACTCACATTTTCTTTCAGCACCTGACTCAAAAAGTAGTAAATATCCACGTGTACAACAGACACATCTTTATAGTCACCTGGAAATTTTAAATTTTAAAAAATTTTAAAAAAATTTAATTTTAAAAAATCAAACCATCCTGAAGAACACTGGCAATAGAAAACCCAGCTTCCGCGCCAATTGCAAATGGGAAGAATTTTCCAATTGTTGAATATTTTTCAGAATTTCCCTCAACTATTGGGTCGGCACCGTAGAATGTGACATTCTGGTTGATTTTCGTCATTTCCTGAAAGGGGGCCTAGAAAAATCCTAGGCCATTTCAAAAACTTACTTTCTGGAACGCCTCCTCTGCAGTGATATCCTGACCAATTCCAAGAGTGACGAATACATTGTTGGAGGATTTCTGGAAAATTGAAATTGGCCTTCTCCGCTTCTCGCCTGCCGCGCTCGAGCTGCAATATGTCTACAGCCTCTCTCCTCTTACAGACCGTCTGCCTGCATGTTTACTGGCTATCGCGCTTGTTTTTGAATTCGAAGCCCCGCAGGTTCGAACCTTCTGGGGGTGTTTTAATTCATCTTCATGTTTTGCAATCTACTTAAGAATAAAGGATCTCTATTTCAGAATTTACTCAGAATTTTCTAAATTTTCAGATTTTTTTTCGGATGTTTTGCTTTTTTTAAAGCGGATTTTAGGATTCTGCTTGAGAGTAGCTTTCAAGTTTGCTCAACTACAAAAGCAATTAATCCTTATCGTATTCGTCTGAAAATCACTAGACAGATTAAACAAAACTAGAGCTTTATTTTTGTAACTGACAGGTTTTTTGTAAAATTTGGTCCTGAGAACTTACGCCACGAGGAAGCGACCCGACTCTCAAGGCGCTGTCCCAACTCGCGCTTCCACGTGGCTTATCTCTTCAGGATCAAATTATACAAAAATTTTGTCAACTACAAAAATGAAGCTCGATTTTTGTTTACTATTAGTATACTTTGAAATTTGCAGACGAATCAAATGAGTAGTCTTGTATTGCTCTGAAGTCGACATAAATATGTTTTATTACACTAATGTTTTATTACACTAATGTTTTATTACACTAATGTTTTATTACACTAATGTTTTATTACACTAATGTTTTATTACACTAATGTTTTATTACACTAATGTTTTATTACACCTGATCAATAAACAAATTAAATTAAATCCATTCTTTTACAGTATCTCTTATCCAATGGTCGAACGGTTTAATTTTTCTAGGTCATGAACCAATTTTTTTCTAGGTCATGACCTTATTTTTTCTAGGTCATGACCCAATTTTTTTTCTAGGTCATGACCTTATTTTTTCTAGGTCATGACCTTATTTCTTCTAGGTCATGACCTTATTTCTTCTAGGTCATGACCTTATTTTTTCTAGGCAATGACCTACTTTTTTCCAGGTCACGACCTTATTTTTTCTAGGTCATGACCTTATTTTTTCTAGGTCATGACCTTATTTTTTCTAGGCCATGACCTACTTTTTCATTGGGACCATCGTTATCTCATTCTGGATAGCCTGATTCTAAATCCTCTAGCAAATCGCGCTTGAGCTGTAATATATCTTCAGCCTCACACCTTTCTTCAGTTTAGTGCGCGCGTGGCCTACTGGCTAACGGTGTCTATTTTGGATCTGAAGCTCGCAGGTTCGAACCTTCCTAGGGAATTTTGTTTTTAATATTTTTTATAACCTACTTTAACAGGTAAAACTGCATATTTCATCTCATCTTGATTCTTCAACGCGATCACTCTCATATTCTCCCAAATATTCGAGCTTTTATCACATTCTCGAGAGCGTTTGACAAAATTTTTCCAGAACGTTTCAGGAGTCTCATTGGTATTCAGAAGCTGTCTTTGAACACATTTGTGCCACGTGGAGTAGTAAATTGGGATGGGATGGGTAAGAGATAAGACTGTTTGACTGATCTGGAAGAGTTGAGAGTTTCTAACAATAAGCCATGCAATTTTTAAACTACCGTATCTGAATGGTGTAGGAGGATGATGAATAAGAATATAGAGAAACATAAAAAGGAGTATTTGAAAATGATGCTGTTCATTTTTGGCCTTTCAAATAAAAAAGAGTCAGGATTGGGGGAAAGAGCAAATATGAAAAAATGGGCGGAGTCTGAACGAGCAGGATATTGAAATTCTTTGTTTATGTAATATTTCAAAAAGAAGATATGTGATTCTGAAATTTGAAGTGTCGATTTTTAGTGAAAGGTGATTAGCCCAATTAAAAAAATCAATTAACAAATTTCTTCACAGAATATTGAGTTCCAAAATTGGACGAGCATCCGATGATGACCCATTAACTTCTCTTGTTGCTCTTGATTACCTTGATAGGTCTGAAAACAGATGCGCTCTAACGATAATAGAGCGATAAAGCGAATTTCCTCACCTTTAAAGTTTATTTTTTTAAAGTTTTTCTGAAAAAAGATAATCTGGAAAAAGTGTGGCCCAGTTTTTCCTTGTCGGTATTTCTCGGCCACCACTTCATATACCGTGAAACCTGTAATAGAAGGGCACCCATCCTGTCAACTTGAAGACAATTTATCTTGATTCCTGTAAAAGATATCAAAAATCTGTCAGCTAATAACATGTTTGTGATATTATGATAAGAAATTTATCAGATGACGACTTTTTGGTATCTTTAACAGAAATCGAGATATGGGCTCAAAGTTGGAGGTTAGAGGGCCCTTCTATTACAGGTTTTACGGTACTCATATGTTCTCTCAAAATCGAAAAGTACTTTACAACCATTTTGGAAGCCATTCGAAATTCCTTTTTTATTAAAAAAAAGCACAATAGGGGGTAGAATGTGTAAATAAATGTGGGTGGAACAAAAATGTATGCACATAAAAATGAGTGGTCGATTATAAGCATAACCTTTTTTTGGGGATGTTGGAATTTCGGGGGAATGGTGGGATGAGGAGAGCAAAGAAACAGATAATAATGAATTGATTTTTGGGATTTTTTGAAAAGTCAAAAATTGAAACAATAAAAATGACATGAAACGAAGTTAGTATAATATTGAAACAAGCACTTTGTGCTTGCAGTTTGAGCTCAATTATCTCAGTTCTTATGAAAGATTTCAACAACTTCTCAACTGATAAATTATAGGTGATATTATGATAAATATTTTATCAGTTGACAAATGTTTGATATCTCTCAAAGGAACCGAGATAATTGAGCTCAAAGCACGTGTATAGGGTAGGCGTCTATTACAGCAACTGTGGTAAAAGTGAAACGTATAGAGTGAGCTCATATTACGGTAATCGATAAAACACTTAATTAGACGGTGCCTTTATAACCCTGCCTATTTGTAACTATTTGGCCTTTTTCTGACGGGGGGGGGGCATGAGAAAAGGGGGCCATGGGAAAAGGGGGACCCATGAGAAAAAGGAGGGGGGGGGGGGCATTGGAAAAATTATACCTAAGTTAAGATTAACCAATTTTCTCAATTTTTGTGGTTGTTTCCATTAAATTTCGCATACTTGCGAAAATCGTCGAAAGCGCGGAAGGCCCGGGCCGGCCCTTGAAAAATTTTGAGGGCCCGGTCCGGCCCGGAAGGCCCGGCAGGTATTTTTTGGTCGAAATTTCTCAAAAAAAATTTTTTTTGATAAATTTTTGAGAATTTTTAAACAAAAAAACTAGTTTTTGAGAAAAAAAATGTTCTTTTGCTTCAAAAATGCAATTTTTTCTTCGAGTTCAACTTTGGAAACATTCAGGAAAAAAACATTTTTCAAAAAATTGTTTAAACATTTACAAATTCAATATTTACAATTTAGCTTAAAATTAGATGATAAAAACAACTTTTTTCCAAAAAAAACACACTTGTTTGCCTAAAAATTAAAATTGGCGCCAACTGGCCGGGCCGGTCCTTGACAAGTTTTTCCAAGGCCCGGCCCGGCCCGTCGCAGCTATGAAATTTCGTGCTTTGAACATTTTTCGAAATGTTTTGAAATTTTCAGTCTTCGTCTATTCATTTTTCGTTCATGTTCTTGCTTTCAAGCTTAGATTTATTTACTATTAGCTGAGTACATTTTTCAAAAGTAATGAATTTTTATGGAAACAACCACAAAACTTGAAATAGTTGGTAAATCTTAACTTAGTCCCCATTTTTACCTGACTCTTAATAATGCAATAATATTACAAATTCAGAACAAATCAAAAACAAAGCAATAAAAAATGACAAGGGATGTGCCAATTCGTAGCTATTCCACCATTCTCAAAAACTCCTCCTCTGTTTTGTCCCATACTCCAATCACAAACGTTCCTCCCCACACATGAACAGATGCCACTCGATTGTCAGTTTCTCGAACGATATATCGGTGGCTGGTGAGAGGGAATGTAGTTTCGTTCTTATCATACCAATCAAAACTGAATAATAATTGTATTTTTCAAAGCGAAATTCGAAAAATAACTTACAGTGCACGGACAGTGTACGTTGGTGGTTGTCTGTTTGCATCAATGAATTTTGCTCCAATTTCATCCAGAACGAGATGTAGAAATCGGATGCCATGATCTTTACTGATTTGTGCATATTCCAGATTTTGAAATGCTTCTCCTGATTTCCATCTAGTCACAATGTCGATCAATTTTGATTTTCGGTATCTATTACCATCAAAAATAATCTGTCTTCCCCGAAAATGACGTACGAAATCCGGACTGTTGATTCTAAGGATATTTATACAAACAGATTCTGCATCATAAAATTTGGATTCCGGACTCAATGGCTTCATTTTCTTATTCACGTGCAATTGAATAGTTTTCGCAACAGGAGATGAGGAGAAGAAGTTTTCAAAGTTTCTGACGTCCGAAAAATGTCCATCGAGATACAAACCAATACAAAATGATACGTTTTTGAGTTTTGGAATAAAAGGAACAAAAAAGTCTTCAGGATATCTCCAGAATTGTTCTTCCCAGTTATACTCGTTCGCATCCCCAAAGACATCAAGAAAGTGGTTATGAATCGATTGGAATACAGATTCTTTGTCCCATTCCAGATAGGATGCTATAGGATATTTGTAATCGTCGGAGAATCTGGAATAATGATTTTTTATGAAGCATAGGGAGTTGTGTCTCACCTAAAATCAATCATCTTTCCCAATACATTAAATTGGACATTATCATTTTTATCTTCATCGCGTTTAACAATTCTCATGATCACGTCGTCGACGGTTCTGGACGACGGCCTGTGATATTTCACTAAAGGTTTACTTTCGTCAAGAAGATACACCACACACGTTCCATCCGTTCTACAATATTGATACTCAATTGATCTGATACTTTGGGAGCTCTTCTTTTGTGATGACATGATCAATTTCTTCATATTTTTCGAAACAAAGGAAAGAAGAAGTAGGTCGAGATGATTCATATTGTCGATTATCTCTTTTTGTACCACGAACGGATACTTGGATAGAATCATTTTCTGAAAATATTAGCAAAGATTATAGAGAAACACAGAAGAATGAAACAGAATACGAGTCCGTAAAGAAGAGAAATGACGTGGCAGATGGAGGTGCAGAAGACGCAGAGAAGAGATGACCTTGACTGGTTAGCACACACTCTGGCCCACAAGGACCAACTCTCCATGAAAGTCAGATTAGTTGGATAGGTCATCTCTCTCAGGGTGGTCTCTGTTGGGACCACACACAAACGAAATTAGTTAGGACCAACGGAAAGGACGTCTGCTGACGTGGCAGATGACACAGTAGATACTCTCCCTTGTCCATCGTGACGTAACCCTTATTTTCTCAGTCCGTTTTCCAATTACCGTGTCTTCTGATGTCTGTGGCACACTAACAAAATTCAACACCTGGAGGCCTGAAGGTTATTCATAACTTATGAACCACAATATGCGATTAAATTTTTCAAACAGTTTTTTTCTCATTCTTTCTGATTCGCATTATTCATATCAAAGTTCAGAGTTTTCATGTAGTTTTTGCTGTTCATTTTTCAAAATTGAAAAACGAGGATTACTGTAGTTTTCAAATAAAATTTTCAATATTGAAAAAATTAGGATTACTGTAGTTTTAGAATTCATTTTTTATAATCGAATAACGAGGTTTACTGTAGTTCTCGGATTCATTTTTTGAAATTGGAAGAAGTGAGGATTACTGTAGTTCTTTGACTCATTTTCCAAGACTGAAAAATGAGAATAACTGTAGTTTTCGGATTCCAGTTTCAAACACATGCCATCTGATATGGAGGTGAACGAAATTGCCAGAAGGGAAGAAATTCGAAATTTCTCGATTATCGCAATCTGAGAAAAATCAAAAGATTCGGATCAAAATGAGTATCGGAATATATTGTATGCCCCTTTAAAGGTGGTGTACGGTGAAATTTTTTATTGCATCAAAATGTGCAGAAATGCATGTAGATTGACATAAAAATAAAGAAAAAAATCAAAAAAAATTCCTTCATCGAGAAAAACGCATCAAAAAATACGCTGAAAGCCCTTAGGGACGAGGTTTTTTCTAGGCCGCCCGGTGAGTAAAAGCGCGCGAATTCAAACTTTTAAAATTTTTTCGCTCGTTTTCACTG